TGTGGGGGGTGCAGGGCAGGGGGAGGTGTGGGGTAACACAGGATGGGGAGATATCTGGTGGCCAAGGCAGAGGGTAGGACAGGGCAGAGGTATATTGGGGGGGGGCTGGGCCAGGTATTGCAGGCTCAGGACAGGGAGAGGTGTTAGAGGGGTTTGGGACCCCACGTTTCAGCGAGGAGTTGGAGGGTGCTAGGGCAGTGGGACATTGAGGGGACAGGGCAGGGATGCAACTTGCTGCCCAGGACCCCATGCCCAACATCACTACAGCCCCCTTGCCATTTTAGGAACTGAGACATTAACTGCAGATGGGCCAGGTATTGCAGGCTCAGGACAGGGAGAGGTGTTAGAGGGGTTTGGGACCCCACGTTTCAGCGAGGAGTTGGAGGGTGCTAGGGCAGTGGGACATTGAGGGGACAGGGCAGGGATGCAACTTGCTGCCCAGGACCCCATGCCCAACATCACTACAGCCCCCTTGCCATTTTAGGAACTGAGACATTAACTGCAGATCCCATACTTTTTGGTTTTGGAGGAGAGAGGTAGCGTTATTGTCGCCTCCCCTGGCTGTGGGGGGAGCATTGCTAGCGATAGGCACTCAGAAACCATGAAACAGGCCCCCAACAGCATAAAACTGGCTAAAAAATCATGAGGGTGTTTTTTGTTTAAATAATAATCGTGGGGGTCTTTTTATTTGCCTTCTGGCAGATGAGCCTTTGCAGCTTTTCTATTCAGTCATGAGGCTTAGAAAGAAATGTACTTTTATTGAACTGAAATGTGAAATTTTCACGTCATCTCGCTGGGCCTTTAAGAAAAATGGCAAATATTGTCCGACTTGCAAGGAAATCACACAAGTTGGAAACATTGCCTGTAGTAACGATCCCAGTACCTACTCCAGACTCCTAAAAGGGGTACCGTAGTGTAGAAGAATTGAGAGCCACTGATACAGGGCACAATGTTCCCATCCCTGTCTATCCTGTGATTTTCCAGAATAGCTACTTTACTGTGTTTCTAGGACTTACTTTTTTCAGTAGGCTAAATTAGTCTATTGCTCAACCTCCCAACCTGGAAGACTTTTCATCTGGTCCATACCCTTTGGCTTGTCTGACTTGAGTGGCCCTACAAAGATATAAAACTCCCTGGAGTAGCTCTCAGGGTCACTGGACCACTCAGCCCTTTCCAGCATGTCAAGGAGCAGTCCCTAGGGAAGGATAAAGCAGAGTTTAAGAAAATGAAAGTATGTGAAGTATGGAACAAAGCTTATTTCTATGCAACAAGCTTTTTCCTCCCAGATGTTTAAGTTGTGGTACAAAATCAAACTGCATCACACTCTAATTTAATGTATGATTCTTTGCTGGCATTGAAATGTGTTCATTGATAAGGGATGCTGTACATTAGCACTGAATGAATGCATACTTTGAGACACAGGAGAGGTGACATTGTTTCCCTGTAAGCCGAGAGCTTGTGAGGCCCTCAGGAGAGATTCAAATGCCGCCCAGAAGATTAGCAGAGTGCTCACAGCTAGGTTTTGTTTCTCCTGGTGGAAGAAGGCATTCACACATGCCTCCATGGAAATTTTCTTTAAATTATTCTGCTCATGGAAGGGAAAAAATCCGAACATGGATAGAAAAGATTAGAGGGAACATTTGTGATCACCCTATTAGAAACTGTTTGTGATTAGGACAAAGGATTGGAACCAGGATTTCTGAGCTCTTAGGGGTGGGTTTATACTGCACTCGTACCTCGAAATAAGCTACACAATTTGCACTATGCAAATTTATTATTTATTTATTTAAAATATTTGTATTCCACCTCTCTATTTAAAATATTCGAGGTGGCTTACAAATTTTTTTAAAACACAATACAAATATATATAAAAAATTAAATTGCGGAGCTTAATTGCAGAGCTTATTTTGAGGCAATTGTGAAATAGTGCAAATTTCTAAGTAAAGTGCTATTCCAAAATGTCCCTCGTGGATCAAGGTTTACAGGGACGTTGGAATACCAAGCCTCCCTCGTGGATCAAGGTTTACAGGGACATTGGAATACCAAGCTGCTTATATTTCAAAATAACAGACATGCTCAAAAGACATGGAATAGCTATTTCAGGATACTTCTGGTATCCCGAAATAGCACCGCAATGTAGATGTAGCCTAACAGTTCATGGCAACTGCACCTCTATTCTCCCTCTGTGACCCAGAAAAGGCATCTGCTCCTGGCTTCTGAGCTGTCATTTCTTTTGAGTAAAGACCCACATTTCTCTCCCTTCTGACCAGTGTTTTACAATCCTCAGAAGCTATCAACAGCATAATTTATCACAGATATAAGCTATAACTACACAGCCCTTTTTAAGCAAGTACATTTATTCTTACAGGTGAAAGTGTTATATAGTAAATATTAAAACAAAGTAACCTACACAGGCTAATGCGCTTTTCAGAGATCACGTCTTACCCCAGTAAGGGCTATGGCCAGAGATCCGTCTAATAATCCCATCAAGGAGTTTGTCTGTGGTTACAAACAATGTTCTTTGTAATTTTTCATGTGGGGAATAAATTTTGTTATGTGCACCACCAGTAGAAACACAGGCTATCAGCTGTGGGCAGTCTACTAATCAGCTTGGTGACATTTGAATCTCTCTTGGTTG